TAAAAACTATCAGGTCTGTGAAGTGTCATATAACAGCTAAGTTTATTTGAAATGTTATGATTAGTACTTGAGATATCAGTAGAAAAGTCAAAAATTGATTAATCATCATGCAAATTAGATAATTAATATAAACAGATTTTCACCCAAAACTAATCAAATCTGTGCATTAGTTCAGAGCATCCATGTGCCAAGTTCATCAAAATCCAATGAGTGGTTCTTCAAATATCAGTGGAGCAGTCATGGAACAGCTTAAAATCAGCTAATTATTATGCAAATTAAGTAATTAATATTCTTGGATTTTTACCTAAATCTAATCAACTCTGCGCATTATCCCAGAGCATATATGTACCAAGTTTCATCAAAATTTGATTAGTGGTTCTTGAGATAACGGTGGAACAAGTGACATACATACATACAGACAGACATACAGACAGACAGGGTAGCTGCAAAGACTCCCTTTTGTGCTTCGCACACAGGAGTCAAAAAAGAAAACAGGACTTTCTAAAATGAATTACCGGTAATAACTATGAAGAAATTTAAAGACCTTTCAAAGACTTTTTTATTTTTCCTGTACATGTAATTTGAAGACAACTCAAAGACTTTCCAGACTTTCAAAGGATTTACCCAGCACTACGAACCCTGTATATGCAGAAATGTATCTCTATGTGTCAGACTTGCCAACATTTAACTACCCCAAGTTTGAAAAAGAGAACAATTACTTGACTTATCATGTATACAGAAAGTTAACAATCACACAAGACAGATAAGCTAACCCCCAGTATACCTTCCTTTTCATTTCATTACAGGCAAGGCAATAATATGCATCAAGAACACATAATGTTTTATTATATACTAAGATAAAACAAAATCCATTTCTAAAATGGTTTGACTAGACAATGAGACACCTACCTAAATATACAACATACTCAAAAGCACCATCTAAATCCAATACATTGACATCAGTAATCTCTCGAGTGTACTGTATTTCATCATCATCATCCACATTGAACTCAGCATTATCATCATATATATCACTATGTCGCTGTATGCAAAAAAAATACATATTTAATAGTATAATTCTTCATAAAAAGTTATAGGTAGAAATGTGTTAACTTGTGGGATATAAAATTGAACTATTGAGGGCTTTTGGGGGGCAAACTCGCATCTTTTATAAACAGCCCTGTGCCAACATCAACTGTAATACTCTCCTGTTTTCAAGTAACGTGTTAGTTTTTTGTTTGTTTTTGAATTGTATGGTTATATTGGTGGACTTTCCATTAATTTAACTGGGAAGAATGTTTTTAAGATTTCTCACTGTTTTTGGCTGCAAGCTGTCTAACTGTTGGAACCATAGTGATAGGTAACTGTATCTGATTTCTAATATAATGAAAATAAAACTAAGGGTGGGATGTCAAATTACCAAAGAGGGCGCACTTTAAAGCACACAGGATCTGCTCACATATAGTACTGAGCATTGTCCTAATAAACTGTCATTGGCCGGTTAACAGAGGTCAAAGTTTATTACAGATTGTAAGTTATATTGAAGAGTTAAAGGTTGCTTGCCAATAAAATATAGGATACAGGGCAAAATACAGTATGTACAATGCCTTCAAGTATTAGTACTTGATAAAAATTGATTAATTATGCAAATTATGAAATTAATATGCACCTATTAACCTAAAAACTATCAGGTCTGTGCATTGTCCTATGACATCTATGTACCAAGTTTCATTGAAATGTGATGATTGGTACTCAAGATATCAGTGGAAAAGCCAAAAATTGACTAATTATTATATGCAAACTAGTTAATTAATATGCACATATTTTTACCCAAAACTAACCAAATCTATGAATTAGCCCAGAGCATCGATGCATAAAGTTTTATCAATAACCAACATGGGGTTCTTGAGATATCAGTGGAATGGACAGACACGTCCTACCACCATTGTGATGACACACATTCGATTAACTTTTAATATTAAAGTTGAAATAACTATTAATATAGTTGTGATATAAACTCTATTGAAATGTGTTTCCTTATAGGGTTGTGTTTTAATTCAAGTTTAATTAAACTCAATTACAGTGCAATTCAAAATAGAATTGTCTTTTAATTCAGACAAGTTTAATTAAATAGAGGTTGAATATCCCGTGAACATAGAAATTAATATAAATTGAACCATATCTTCCCCCTTTACTAAACCTAAGCTATGCAAACTTAGCTTTGATATGTAAAGTTTTGATCTATTTGAACTGATCATTGAGGAATTTGGGTAGCATTAACTTATTCATTCAAACATGGCAAACTGTCCATTAACTAGCATACTGTATATAACCATGAAAACAATTCATATATTCTCATAGACCAATTCAAGCTATAAATCAGTGCCTACCTTTTCTAATAATGTCTCATATGTTTTGTCTCTGAGGTCATTTCCACTGTAAAGTAAAATTTAACTATATAAATTGTCAGCATCTGAAGTCTGGGTATTGGGTCTATTTGATACATGTGGAATTCAACAGTAAAAACACCTTGTTTTAATGACTCATTGAATACATGTCAATTAAAAAACCATTGAATTTATACGTCTTTAGTAATACTGGTATGAGCTCTTCTTGATTTGAATACAGTACTGTAAATGCATTAATTATTCACTGGGTTTTAATTTCGCTAATTTCACGGATAAGTGAAATCCACTAAATTAAATCCACGTGAACATAAATATAACAATAAAACTCATTGTTTCCTTCACAAACTCGTGAAATTAAAACACAGTGAAGTGAAATTAAATGTCATTGAAAATAAATGCTTTTAAAGTATTCTGTGTTGACCATTTCTCAAAATGAAGAACAATTATGACTAAACATGAACACAAATATCCTATAGTGATTTATAATATACTAGTATTCATCAGTCTCGGGAGATAGCACAGACTATATCACCTGATACCACAAACAATGTCACCTGATAACATCACCTGATACATGTACCACAATGTCACTGATAATGCAAACAATGTCACTGACAATGCAAACAATGTCACTGACAATGCAAACAATGTCACCTGATACCACAAACAATGTCACTGATACCACAAACAATGTAACCTGATACCATCACTGATAACGCAAACAATGTCACCTGATACCACAAACAATGTCACCTGATACCACAAACAATGTCACCTGATACCATCACCCGATACCACAAACAATGTCACCTGATACAGTCACCCGATATCACAAACAATGTCACCTGATACCATCACCTGATACCACAAACAATGTAACCTGATACCATCATCTGATACCACAATGTCACCTGATACCACAAACAATGTCACCTGATACCACAAATAATGTCACCTGATACCATCACCCGATACCACAAACAATGTCACCTGATACCATCACCCGATACCACAAACAATGTCACCTGATACAGTAACCTGATATCACAATGTCACCTGATACAGTCACCCGATACCACAAACAATGTCACCTGATACAGTCACCTGATATCACAAACAATGTCACCTGATACTGCCATCTGATGCCACAAACAATATCATCTGATACTGCCACCTGATACTACAAACAGTATCATCTGATACTGCCACCTGATACCACAAACAGTATCACCTGATACTGCCACCTGATACCACAAACAATATCACCTGATACTGCCACCTGATACCACAAACAATGTCACCTGATACTGCCACCTGATACCACAAACAATATCACCTGATACTGCCACCTGATACCACAAACAATGTCACCTGATACCGTCACCTGATACCACAAACAATGTCACCTGATACAGTCACCTGATACCACAAACAATATCACCTGGTACAGTCACCTGATACCACAAACGATGTCACCTGATACTACCACCTGATACCACAAACAATATCACCTGATACTGCCACCTGATACCACAAACAATATCACCTGATACTGCCACCTGATACCACAAACAATGTCACCTGATACCATCACCTGATACCACAAACAATGTCACCTGATACTGTCACCTGATACCACAAACAATATCACCTGATACTGCCACCTGATACCACTAACAATGTCACCTGATACTGTCACCTGATACCACAAACAATATCACCTGATACTGCCACCTGATACCACAAACAATGTCACCTGATACTGTCACCTGATACCACAAACAATATCACCTGATACTGCCACCTGATACCACTAACAATGTCACCTGATACTGTCACCTGATACCACAAACATCATCACCTGATACTGCCACCTGATACCACAAACAATGTCACCTGATACTGTCACCTGATACCACAAACAATATCACCTGATACTGTCACCTGATACCACAAACAATATCACCTGATACTGTCACCTGATACCACAAACAATATCACCTGATACTACCACCTGATACCACAAATAATATCACCTGATACTGCCACCTGATACCACAAACAATATCACCTGATACTGCCACCTGATACCACAAACAATGTCACCTGATACTGTCACCTGATACCACAAACAATATCACCTGATACCACAAACAATGTCACCTGATACTGCCACCTGATACCACAAACAATGTCACCTGATACTGTCACCTGATACTGTCACCTGATACCACAAACAATGTCACCTGATACTGTCACCTGATACCACAAACAATGTCACCTGATACTGTCACCTGATATCACAAACAATATCACCTGATACCACAAACAATGTCACCTGATACTGTCACCTGATACCACAAACAATATCACCTGATACCACAAACAATGTCACCTGATACTGTCACCGGATACCACAAACAATGTCACCTGATACTGTCACCTGATACCACAAACAATGTCACCTGATACTGCCATCTGATACCACAAACAATATCATCTGATACCACAAACAATGTCACCTGATACCACAAACAATGTCACCTGATACCACAAACAATGTAACCCGATACTATGACATCTATTACCTTGGCTTGGGTTTGGGAGCTTCGGTGGATGCAGCAAAGGACTGTAAAAATGGCTCCAAAAATTGCCCTCTCTGAAAAGAAAATTGAATGAATATTTTCACATGAGGTAAAACAGCTTCTTTATACTTCACATACAATCTATGATATGGGTGTACATATATGTTGCCTTTACCCACATCTCACTCATAGAAAAATTAATGATATAAGGCATGTATATGGCCTACTATTTTTAATTTGTTTCACAACCACCACTCAAGAATTAATTAAAAAAAAAAAACATCCCCTGAACCCAATTATTCTGATGATTGTACACATTGAGTGAATTATGGGGGAAATAATCAATCAGCAAGAAATCTAGATATTATCAAAAACCCTTCACTAATTCCCAATATCCCACAATGCACTGGGCATATGCCATAGTATGGGTGGAGAAGAACATTTGTGCTTTACATTTATAATGAATAAAACATATAAGAACAAAGTACACTAATTAGATGTTCTCACCTCCTTCAGTAGTCTATTTGGCACTGATTTCAACATTTTACCTGGAGGCAAAATAAATGCAAACAATGAATTATTATTAGACTTAGTGAGAACTTTTTTATTGCAACATGTTTTTTTAAATGAAAAATGATCCAGAGGAAAAACAATTTTCACTTTTATTTCACAAAATGTCAGAATATTAACTCACCAAAGTTGACATCTGGTAATAGTTTGGCAACAAATTCATCCTTAGTAGTCAAGAAATTATACAACAATTCACTGCCTCTCAACACTGGCTTGGTTAGTAACATCTAAAAGGTAATACAGTAACAAGTTTGATATTAATTTTATTTGAACATGTATGTAAAATATGCCAAGACAGTATGTTAAAATACATGGTTAAATGAACATGTGTGGCTTGTGATAATAATGGAGAAAACCACAGTTGGCAGAATTCCCAGTTATCAACCAATAGGTTGTTTTCTTTTAAGAATTATCTAGTGGAAGAAGCTCCATTCATTGGAGTCATATTTGACAAATTTCCTAACTGGAGTAGTCACACTGCCAAAAGAAATAAACTTATCAGCGGAAAATGTAAAATATTATTTAATCTTTGACATATTAGCTTATTTAGTTATGAAACAGTATATGACATAGAGGTGTGGAGAAATACATTCTCTCATTTAAAAATAATTTTAACAGCTTAGAAAATGGCAGTTTGAGCAGTCAATTGATAATAAATTTACACAATTTTAGAAATAAACATGTTTGTCACAAGTCATACCTGTAGCCATTTTTCCAGTATTGGTAACTTTGATTCAATAAAGTCTTGGGTTCTGGTTCCAAAAGACCTTTTAGAAGGCAACGAACAGTCCTCAAATACACCTAAAAATGTAGACATAAATCTGTAGAACTTCAAAACATTTTGTGAAAGAGACTAGACGATGCTAAGAGTGAATGTGAATTTAAGTTGCATTCCCATTTTGGAATTTTAAAATCTATTGAATAAATACCAGTGAAAATTAATTATACTATAATTAGTTAATTATATAATCTCTTTATGGCAAATACCACTGAAGATGCTGCCATGAAATTGAGAAATGGGTCAATGAATTAAGTAACTAGTGCATTGACAAAAGAGTCAATGAAATAAGTGACCAGTACATTGAAAAATAAGTCAATGAAATAAGTGACTAGTACATTGAGAAATGAGTGAATAAAATAAGTGAATAGTACATTGAGAAATGAATCAATGAAATAAGTAACTAGTACATTGAAAAATGAGTCAATGAAGTGACCAGTACCTTGAGAAATAAGTCAATGAACTAAGTGACTAGTATGTTGAGAAATGAGTCAATGAAATGTGACAAGTATGTTGAGAAATGGGTCAATGAGACAAATGACTAGTATGTTGAGAAATGAGTTAATGAAACAAGTGACTAGTATTTTACTGATACTGTCATAAATACTTCAACTTTGTGATCAATATCAGACCTACCATGAAATTCAGTCAATTTGTTCTCCAAAACATAAAATTCATGATATCTCCTACAATGAACAAAAACAGAAGAATGAAGAGCAAAAGAAAAGAATTCAAATCGCATAAACATAAATTAAAAAAAAATAAAATATCTGTTTTTTAATACTAATGAAAAGCCACAATGTAGTGTTTGCTATGCACAAAATGATTTCCATAACAGATTTCCTAATACTCAAAACATATGATGTCCAACAACTGTGGTATAGCCACTCAAAGTGATTGAAACATGAATCATCATCATTGAGGGTGAAAAAAAAACAATGAAAGGAAAAATACAAACCTTTCAACTTCCCAAGACATTTTTTCCTCACCAGCTGTCCTGACATCTAGTCTGTCAACATGGATGACGTAAACAAAATACTTATTATTGCCTTCTTGGCGTAGTCCACACCTCAGTATATTCACCCTCCATGCACTGAGATCACGAAGTGGGAAACTCAACGGCAATATGTCTTCAACTCCAAGAATGTCAGTTACAGACTGAAACATCAATATTCAAGTTATTTACTTTGGGTTAAATAATAATATTGTACTTGAAGTCAAAAGGCAGAGTGATGATATACTCCACACTGTTTATTTTTAGTTTGTACTTTTTAGCAAAGCTAAGAGTTCCGTGTAGTAGTAATATGGCCAAAAATAAAAACAGCTGTTATTTGGCCATCTTTGATCTGATTATGAAACACACTGATATGTATGATGTATGTGCCAAATACGAATGAAAATGGTACATAAATTGTGGAAATATAGTAGTAAGGCCAAAACCTCAGATGGCTGTCAATCGGCCATCCTTGACCAGATTTTGAAACAAATTGTCGTGGACATGCATCCTAACATGTATAAAGTACATGTATGTGCTAAATTTGAATGAAAACTGATAGAGCACGTCCAAGATATCGCATATAAAAAAAAAACAAGATGCCTGCCAGTCGACCATCTTTGATCCAATTGCGAAATAAATCATCATGGACATGTATCCTAACATGTATAATCTATGTGCCAAGTCGAATCACTAAACCACTGCATGTGCATATGTCCCACATAAGGTAATAGGCACATGCTAAGAATGAACGGAATCGGTCCACAGGATTCTGAAATATGACTCTGGACAGACTGACGCACGGACGGACAGACACATGGATGGACAGACTGACTCAGGAACTCACGGACAGTCGGGGACATGTATCCTAACATGTATGATCTATGTACTAAATTTGAATGAAAACTGACAAAGCATGTCCAAAATACAACATTTTCGAAAAAATAAGATGGCTGCCAGTCAGCCATCTTTGATCCAATTGTGAAATAAATCGTCATGGACATGTATCCTAACATGTATAATCTACGTACCATGTTTGAATGAAAACTGACAAAGCATGTCCGAAATACAACATTTTCAAAAAACAAGATGGCTGCAAGTCGGCAATTTTGAATCGAATCGCTAAACCACTGCATGTGCATATGTCCCACATAAAGTACTAGGCACATGCAAAGAATGAACGAAATCGGTCCAAGGGATTCTGAGATATGACTCCGGATGGACGCACGGATGCACAAACGCACAGATGAACAGACGAACGGAGACCAAATTATAAGTCCTTGTTTTCGGACTTCGTCCGAACGGGAACTAAAAAATGCATTCAAGGACTATGAACTATTATATTAAACCCAAATTTAAATAAAAAATATATAGGGTGTGTTTTATAGTGATGAAGTGATGCACACATAAACTTCTCATCAAACAAAACAGAATGCCCTTCCATTCACTCATTATATGACACAAAATGACCACATACCCTGCTTGAGGGCATGACATTATTGTTATTTACCGGTATAAATATTATATTTAACTAGAGTGCAAATATGATTCTATAACAAAGGTGTGGTAACGTTTTTCTTACCTGTGGTGAATCGCTTTCAAGCATATCTTCTGCTTCCATCAATAACCTTTCTTCTACTAGAAAACCCATGAAATACAAAAATGTTAATATGTTACATCTTATATTGTTTTGCTGCTAGAAATTTTTACGATTTGATTATGTAAACCAAACTACTATGCTTGAAGCTGATGTGTTGAGAAATACTAGTATTTTGCACCAAACTATTTATTTATTTATTTATTTATTTATTTATTTATTAACACACAACATCCCTCGGAGGGGATGAAAAGGGTTACAAATCAGATATTAGTAAAAGAAAAATAACCACATAAAGAGTAAGGGAACAAAAAGGCATAAAAAAAAAAAAAAAGATAATAAGTTGAATACAAGGAATGTATTACTGGCTTAGTTTATGTAGGTGCTGCTGTCTTGTATTAAAACAGTTTTTTAAATATTGCGCTAAAGGAATTGACATTTTCTCGTCACTTAGTAATGATATGAATTTATTTTCATTACTAAATTTGTCAAAATTTGGTATACGTTTATTAGCTACAATGTAAAGTTTTGATCTTATTTCATTGTAATGAGGACAATTTGTGACAAAATGTTGTTCATCTTCAACATG